CCCATCCCTGCACCACAACTCTGGTTATAACAACGCCAACAGGCATTCTGTTCTGTAGCTCATGCCTATATAGAACAGAGCTTGGGGGCGAGTTAAGCAGCCCACTATAAGAAGAACGCAGAAGAGAGCAGAAGTGGAGACACGGCTGAGTGCTGCAAAGTGAACAGGGCAAATGGGGACCTCTATTTGGGAGCAGAGTAGCTCTTTATTAGGGAGATGGCTATGGTGGTAGGACAGACACTTGAGGATGGAACTGGCTGTTGGATGGAAAGGAAAAGGCAAAACCAGGTTTCCTCTGCCAGGTACAAGGAAATAAATAGTCAATTCAGCTCCACAAGTTCTGATTAAGTGTCTACCATAGGCACAATGACTGCCAGGTTCTGTGAACAATGCAAAACAAATGCAAATATGGTCCTATTTTTAATGTTTTTATTTTTATTTTTGAGAGAGTGTGCGAAAGAGAGCATGAGCCAGGGAGGGGCAGAGAAAGAGGGAGACACAGAATCCGAAGCAGACTACAGGATCTGAGCTATGAGCATGGAGCCCGGCATGGGGCTCGAACCCACAAACCACTGGATCATGCCCTGAGCCGAAGTCAGAGGCTTAACCAACTGAGCCACCCAGGAGCCCCTGGTCCTGTTTTTAAACAGTCAAGACACAGGCTTGCTCATGACGTGATCAAGTAACAATGTTTAACAATATAAAATCATGTGTCAAAACGTATAATAGAGGTTTTAAATGCCAGGAGGGAACCAAAACAAGGGGAAAAGCTACTGAAAGCTAGGTCAGGTGGGGAAGACTTCTGACAAGAGACAGAAATTTGGCTACATCTCAAAAAAATTGGAAGGATTTGATAACAGAGAGGAAGAGGAAGAATGTTGTGGGCCTGAGAAAGGAAGGGAATGGGTGAGCTGGTAATCAGATAAGGAATGAGTGACAAAGTAAGTTTCTGTACAAAGCCTCAACTGCCAAAAGGTGTTTGACCTCTTTTATTTTCCAAAGTTTTCATTTGAGAAAGTGAGATGAGGAAAGTGGTATTTCAAAGATTAGAGATCTCCCCGGTTGAACGAGGAATGGGTGAGAATGAAAGAGAACATTTAGAAAGCTACTATAATGGTGTAGGCGTGAGGTAACAGTAGATAGGATAGATAGAACAGGCAGATTCAACAACAAGTTCTTTCCTTGAAAGAAGGAACAACGGGACTAGGTGACTAAATAAAGAAGCAGCGAGAACCAAAGAGGAGTCTGAGGTTCAAGCTGTTTGGATGACCAGAGTCGCAGAAGTTGAGACCTGCAAGGGCTCCAGTTGGACTCCCTCTTAAGAAAACTGGTTGCTTAAAATCTCAGAACTAGTTCTCTGCAGAGTTAGCAGCAGAATGCCCAGTGCTATTATGAGATTTACCAAGCAGTATATGCCTAAGCGTTAATGACATATAAATCAATTTCAGAATAACTATTAAATGATGAGAGCACCAGACCAGAATGTACTGTCATATAACCACAAGACTGAAAAGTCATGTAGCCACATGAATAGTTCATGTGTAAAGTCAAATATTCTATATCTCTGCTATAAACAGAAACTTTAGGCCGTTAGCCTAAATTATAAATTACAGTGTTGTTATTAAACTCTGGTGGCCCACTGATGAATAACTGATTGCTTAAGAAATTAATAAATTTTATCAATTGTGATTTTTGGATTAAAGAATCTGGAGGTTTAAATAATAGGAAAAACATGCTCCCCAGAGAGGCTACAGTGTTTAATGGAATGAGAACTGATCAGAGCATCAAGAATATGATTCTTCAGTACTTACAGAAAGCCCACTCATAATTCCATTTGTTTGTCTCTTCAGTCATAATATGAAGGCTGCAGGGCTTAAAACAATAAAAACTGCAACTTTATTACTGATTTCCTCTTAGACATTGTGAACTCAGGGTCTACTAGCAGGACCTCTGTTCAAAGAATAGACAAAAGTACAGATGTACCATTCCATTTTTCTTTCGCGTGACCAAAAACTCAGTCATTTACCCTCCTAATGGAACTCTCTCACTTGCCTCAATGCACTTCTACTAATGCTTTTACACAATTAAAATATATGCTTTGCTATTCCCAGGTCTAAAACCTTTATAACTCTGAATAGGTCTTAGTCTTTCTACACTTTAATGTTTATGTCTTGGAAGTAGGTATATGGAAAAACAAACTTTCTTCAAGATAACTTAAAAGTAATATAACAATTTTGTAAACTATGATTTATCTAGAATTTGACCCTGAAAAGGATAATCATAATTTTTTTAAACTCCTATCCTTAGACAACCTTGTGGAGCAGATCTACTAGACCCATTGCTTTCCATCCTCTGGATTAGTCATGGATTTTTTAAATTTTAATTTAATTTTTTAAAATTTATTTCTGAGAGAGAGACAGCATGAGCAGGGGAGGGTCAGAGAGAGAGAGAGAGAGACAGAATCTGAAGCAGGCTCCAGTCTCTGAGCCAGCTGTCAGCACAGAGCCCGGCGTGATGCTCTAACCCACGAACCGTGAGATCATGACCGGAGCTGAAGTCAGATGCTTAACCGACTAAGCCACCCAGGCGCCCCCAGTCATGGATTTTTTTTTTAATTAAAATTAAAAAATAACATTAGTTTTATGAATTAATGCTAAACAAATAAAACGTTGGTCCACCTCTTCTACCACCTTTTTGAAGCTAAAGGAATGAACAGTGAAAATACTCACTTCTACTGGACATAATTTGGGGGTATAGTCAGAGGGTGTGGGAAACAGGCCCAAGTGTGGAATAATCTGGGTGTTTCTGCTCTTCTGGAAATGAATGTGAGACACAGGAAGGGGGTGGGGAGCATAGAGGTCTACTGGGATAAGACATCAGGAATATGGAAAGGAACCCCACCTCCTCCCAGAACTCCCTCCCCTATGCTTGTGAATTTTTAAAAATCATGAATCCAGAGAGTAAAAATATATTTTAAATTCTATCAAGGCATCACCAAGTCAGCTTAATGGCTGCTTATTGGAGAGGCATGGTGGAAGACCCTCTAAAGAGGAAAACATTTCCATTAAGAAACACCTTTAAAATAAGTTAAATTATATTACTCTCAAATCATTACAAATGCAGGTGGTGATTTCACTGAAACTTAATGTTTCAATGAATCTTTACCAATTAGCCTTTTGTTTTAGTTTGAAATAATTGAAAATTCACAAGAAGTTGCAAAAATAGCAGAGTTCCATGTGTCATTGATCCAAACTTCTGCAACACTATCTTACATGACCATAGTAAGTTATCAGAACCAGAAAAACAGCATATCATTAGTTTTTTAAAGATTTCAAAGTTTATTAATAGTATTTTTAAATGACTTCTGAATATTGGCAAGGGAAGTCTTCCCTTCCCTGCTGGAAGCAGCCTAGTCAGAAAGGTCAAGGAGGGGGTGCTTGGGTGGCTCCTCAGTTAAGCGTCTGACTTTGGCTCCGTTCAAGGTTGTGAGTTCAAGCCCCACATCAGGCTTGCTGCTGTCAGCACAGAACCCACTCTGGATTCTGTCCTCCTCTTTATCCGCCCCTTCCCATCTCTATTTCTCTTAAAAATAAATAAACATTTAAAAAAAGTCAAGGGCAGAGAGTTAAGTGCTTTAGACAGAAAGTGAATTATACTCTCTTGGAGTAGTATCTCTTAACCCTGTAGAGGATAGGCAAAATCCAAACACTGGCTGAACCCACCCTAAATTAATTCCATCAACCTCTGTAGGTAAGGCTCAAGCATCAATATGTTTTCAAAAGTCATCTCGTAAGATCCTAATCTGCAGCCAGGGTTCAGAAGTACTCATGTAAGGACTTACTAAATAAAACCGACTTAATGCTTTTTTAAAGATGAGATTTCTGGCTATGTTTTGTTTTAATGACATCACTTACAAATACTGAAATGTATTCAAACTTCCTTTCCTCTAAAGACCTAAGTTTCAATACACTTTTCACAATTAAACCCGAGCTATGTAATAGAAAGCTAATGGGATCTCTCATCCCTAGCCAACCATGTCAGAGGTTCAGTGTGGGATAAAAACATAGTAGGAATAAACCAAGATCTACTCATTTACTCCCACCTCCAGACTCCAGTAGTTCCTATCGTTATCACTGTTTTTACTTCAAATGTGAGGAAATTTGGGGGAATTGCTAGCTAAAATCCCAGAGACAAAAAACGCAAATGAGATTTCTTTTTCCCATTCTGCCTAACTGTAGTAACCAACATGGCTACATTGACCTCTGCACATAATCAAATTATCTCTGTAAAGTTCTGCCCTATTTTTGGAAACTAGGGATTTTCCGGATTACGGGGGCCCTGTCACTGGCTCAGGCCAGAGTTTCAGATGCGAACAGGCGAAAGTAGCCGCTCTCCTGGTCGTAACGGGGAATTACATATTAATCGGAGAGCTTTTGGGGGGGAACCAATGTAGTTCACATTTGTGTTTTCTAAAAATTCTGCAAGGCAGCCCTCTCCAAATTCCCTGCGGATCACTTTAAATTACAAATTAGTCCGCATACCACATCACAGAAACCGCTCCTACCCGCCAATGAGGGCGAAGGTCGGTCCTAAACTCCGGGTTTGTACAGGCTGCGCCGCGCAAATGCTAAAAGTTAGGAGGGAGACAGAAGGAAGCAGAGAGACGCAAGTCCTTGACAAATTACCGAAATCGCGCAGAGATTATAGCAAAATTTACCCAACTCTAACTTGGAGATAAAGCTCCCTTACTATTCTCGTGGCTGATAAAATTAAAAACGCGGCGACTAAAACCCGTTTTAGCCAGAGACGACCTCCTGGACCACTCCGGGTCATCAGGTGACAAGGAAGGAACTCCTGCCTGCGGGCGCGCCTCCTGAGGCGGCGCAGGCCTAGGCGAAGCCTGAAGGGACTAGTTGGCGCGCACCAGCCGGGCGCGGTGACGTCAGGGCGGAAGCGCACGCTGCGTGAAGCGGCCCAGAATCCGGCGGTCACGGGAATATCCGTCGCGCCGAGGACGCTGGTTAGTCTCGCTCCGGGTTCCGGCTGCGTTGGGCGTGCGTGCATCTCGCTGAGGCTATGGCGTCCGGGCCTCACCCGACCGCGACCGCTGCCGCCACCGCCTCGTCGGCCGCCCCGAGCGCGGGCGGCTCTAGCTCCGGGACCACGACGACGACGACGACGACAGGAGGGATCCTGATCGGCGACCGCCTTTACTCGGAAGTTTCGCTCACCATCGACCACTCGCTGATTCCGGAGGAGCGGCTCTCCCCTACCCCGTCTATGCAGGACGGGCTCGACCTGCCCAGCGAGACCGACTTGCGCATCCTGGGCTGCGAGCTCATCCAAGCCGCCGGCATTCTCCTCCGGTTGCCGCAGGTCAGTGCTTCGGCCCCGGCCCGGCCGAGCGCGCTTCTCCCCGCTGTCTCTTCCGCTGCATCCCGATACCCGTGTGTCTCGGCAGGGTGGGGATGCCTCCTCGGGCTCTCCAGCCACGGGTCCCAGCCGGATCGCCGGCCTGTCGGGGGCGGGAGGGCGCCGAGGCGAAGGGAGGACCCGGCAGCTTGCAGTTCGCGGCGGGAGGGGGAGGGGGAGGGAGCGGCGGCACAAAATGGCGGCGGCGCCTGGTGCGGGCCCGCCTGACCCCTGCGCTTCCGTTCTTCTCTCTTGTCTGCAGGTGGCGATGGCAACGGGGCAGGTGTTGTTTCATCGTTTTTTCTACTCCAAGTCTTTCGTCAAACACAGTTTCGAGGTAAGCACTGCGGGGGCGGGTGAAAAGGGATTTCTTCATCCGGAAACGGGGGGGGGGTAGTGTCTCCACCCAGCTTTGCTAAAAAGGGAGTGGTTGGTTTAGGCCTTTGTACCTAGTTCTCACCCACCGAGACGTAGACTTTTGTAATGTGTTTTAAAACTATAAAGCTTATCTTGAACCCAGGTGCTCTCTTACCCAAAACCAGAATTTCAAGCAAGTTCAATTAAGATTAGTTAAGCATAAAATAGAAGCATAGTACTAGTCTATCTGGTAAGCCTCTCGCGTACAAATGTCCATCGTACTCTTTATTTCACCAAAAGTTGTCCCCGTTGTGTCCTGAAATTTCTTCCATCAGAAGTAGCTGGTTAGACTTTGAAAGGGGCACTTTTTCCTAACCATTTGATAGTGTTGTAATAACTTTTTATTGGATTATGGGTTGTTTCAGATTGTTGCCATGGCTTGTATTAATCTTGCATCAAAAATTGAAGAAGCACCTAGAAGAATAAGAGATGTGATTAATGTATTTCACCACCTACGCCAGTTAAGAGGAAAAAGGTAAGATTGGCATTATTGAACACTTTCTTGTTGGCTACTGTATTGTGCACCAATCATCAAATCAAAACATTCTTTCCTCTCAAAACTGATGCAAAGGAAAACCAGCTTTAATTTAGGTGTTAAAATTCACATAGGAGCTAACTAATACTTAATTTGGAAAAAAAAACCCAATTAACCAGCTATCTAAAGTTTGTAGAGGCAGTTGCATTTATGGACAATCCTAACAGTGCTGTGAAGCCAGTCCTGTGGTTTAAGATTAAACAAGAAAGGGAATACGTTTGGCTCAAGTGTGAGTGTATTCTGTAAGTTATTTTCCTCCCTCCCCTCTTGGAAGACTGAAGGCTGGAAGTGTAAACACTGCAGTTCAAGTTAATATTGTGGCAAAGTTTTGTGTAGATCATGTTTTTCTACTCGAAGTCCCAGTTAATTCTTTATCAATTGAGGTTGGCTTCTGTTAGAATACTTCTCAACATTGAACTACGATATATCGCATAATACCGGATCTGAAAGGACTGCAGGATAAAGGTTGAAGTTTGAAGTCAAAGGGATTACACAGGTATTTTGTTTTGGTCAGATACAGTATCAGTGAGTGGGGTAGAGAAATAACTACTGGGTTACCTTTAGATAAGGACCATTTTATTTGATCTTGTAAGAAGAATATAGAAACCAAATAGTGTCTTGCAGATTTTGTGGCTACATGACAACATTTTGTGTGGACCTATGTGTTCATGTGCGGCAGTGCCAAAAAGTTTTAGTTGCAGGCTTTCTGCATCTAGAGGTGACTTCTAGTATATCCTGCAAACGGTTATACTGGGCGTAGATTAGTTCTTGTGTTCACTTCTTAAGAAATTGCGGTGATGTTAGATAAACTTGTACTGAGTTTGAAAGGAAGTTAGTTTTAAAAGGATTTTAAGTTGTTTGGGGCTGGGTGTCAGTGCCAAATTAGTATCCTACATGAATGGTCTTTATAGGCTGAATCTGTAAGTTGTCAGTAATGGAACTATCCAGAGACAAATAGTAAAGTAACCTTTAGTTAGAAAGTCTGAGACATTGCTACCCAGATAGTTTTCACAGCATTTTTTCAGTTTTCTTACATTCTTTTTTCTGCCATCTTTTCTCATTTACCCTAACCATGTCCAGGGATAGACTAATACTTTATTTTAAAACATCCTTTAGCTTCTTGGTGAGGAATCCCTGGATATTGGGAAGATTTTTCAAATTGGTATTTTGTGTGGTCTGAGCTAAAATTTGTTTTTAGATATTTAGCAGATTCTTCAGGGTGTTTAAAACAAATGACAGTAATTAAAACACTTTTTATCCTTAGAGGATTCTGTGTTTGCCTAAAAAGGAGTTTTCTGTTTGTATTTGAACCATTGAGCCAACTATTGTATTGTCACTTAACAATGATTATCTACTTTGAACTTTTTCTGTGAGACTTAAAGTATTCTTCCTTGCTGTCAGAGTAGGTCTTCTTAACTATACAAACCTTGGAATTTAAAACATCTCACCTGACTGACTGTGTCTGACTGACCAATAATTTGGTCATTATTACAGAGAAATTTGTCTCAATCTTACAAGTCTGATTATAGCATGACATTTAAAAGGAGTTGTTAATTGCATGGAAGCCTTTTTTTTTAAAGCAGGATGTAAAAGTGTTTCTATGCATATTACAAGTTTACTCAGACACGTAACTTGTATATGTTATTAACTTCAACTCTTTTTTCCCTTGCAACCGACTATACAGCGACCAGCTACATTTACCAAAGCCTGGGTGATGTGGAGTGGTACATAGAGATGAAGCTGTCGTCATGGCAACAGTGAGTGAAGTATCGAAAATCCCCAAGGAGAAGCCAGTGCTCTGAGAATAGGTCACTGGAATCGGGGACTAACAGGTTGGCCACTGGTGAACCATTTAGAAAAACTCCTGTTTCTTGTTATAAGCTTTTGTCTTTGCTGTCCAAGTTATTAGAAACTATAGCTTGGTGTATTTTTATCTAGAATAATGCCATTAGAAAGCACTATCACTATTCTACTTTTTAGTTAAATAGTGTATCACTTTAATGATGCTGTTTTAGTCTGGGTTATGCATAGCTTTAAGTTGTAGTCTCATCTTGGTAATGACAGGAGGAATCATTTTTGTAGCCTTAAGGTCACTGGGGACACATTAGAATCACCAGAGGAGCTCTTAGAAAGTATCAATGCCCAAGCCCTCTGCTGGATTTCTCTCCTCCCCCACCCCCCTCAATTTTTCTGTGGTTTCATAATTGCCATCTAAGCTCAGAATAAATGGCTGAATTGAAGGAGAAAATTGCCTTTTCATTTCATTGATTTCCAGTTCTCCTTTGTTTTTGAGATGCAGCATATTTCCAGACAATTCAGCATTTTCTGTAAATTTAAGGAGCCCACATGTATACCCGAAGGCTTGCCTAAAGACAGATCTTCAGAGTGATGCAACCATTCATTGGTGAATATAGTGTATTTTCAGCAGGTATATAGATTATAGATAAGAGTAAGTGATCTTGTCATTTAGTCCAGCCTCCTTAAGTGTATGTTAGTGGCTCTAAAGGTAGTGGTCTTCAGTTGGCTTAAACACTGCTAGAGGAGGAATATTCCCTTGGCATTACACATTTCTGTATATTGAACAGTCTGGCTCCTTATAAACTGAATCTCCTTTTAGCGTAGTAAGAACTAAGTCCAAATTTTCTGTCCTTGTACCACATTAGTGAGACTAACCATGTTTAGATCTCCTATTCCAAATTTTTTTCTGTGTAAGTTGTATTTCAACTAAATCATACTAAAGGAAAAATTTTTACTCTAAAAGATGACTGAAAGTGACCCAAGCCCAAGATTTCCTATTAAGACTAAAATTTGAAAACTGTTCTTTTCATGTAAATTTGAAAAGTCTGATAAAAAAAAAAAAAGCAGGGGAGATAGAGTTAGGTTTTAGTTAAGTTTTTTTTTTAAAGCAATTTAAGAATATCACCTCCTGAAACTTACTGGAAAGGAAAGCTTATCTAACTGAAGATGAAGAAATCCTAGCAAGCGTCAATTCAGTTTCATGTGCTTGCTGCTATAGACAGTACTAATTGATTTGATACATTGTTAATTTAAGTAAGGAAACCACCTGCTTGGACTGTTTCCTTTAACCTTTTCTTACTGCTGACTTATTGGGACATATTTTTCTATTTCTGATACAAATTCTGATACAAAATAATTCTTTTAAGGTAGTTGTATATGACATGCTGGAGCCTTTCTTGATTTAAAACCAATTAACAAAATGAAAGTATCTGATTGTATACCTACAAAGTTAACTTTGAAAACTATCAAGAGAAACCCTAAGCAAGAAGTTGAGTATATAGTTGGATTACAGTAAATAATGGGTTTGTTTTCCTTAATTGGTTTTGGTGTTGTTGGGACTTTGACACACAAAAAAAGGGAAAGTAAAGGTTGTGGCAGAATAGATCAAAAGTAACAATTCATTAAATGAATTCATTTAATTCAACTAATGAGTAAATCTGATCTTGGGATCAGATAGTAGCCATTATTGAGATGAGTGTTTAGTTGATTAATTGCAGGAAAAATGAATTTTAACACAATTTGAAGGCTACTGTTAAAGCAAGCTTAGTAAGAGGTTTAGATGAGTTTGCTGTAGATGAGTTTGATAACATAAAATAGGGGGAACTGAGACAAATCTACTTATAAATTTATTTTTAGGATTTTAATGGTGCAGTTTATGGTCTGAACTGTAGGGGGAAAGTGGTAAGCAACTATAATTAATACAGGGGATAGTCTACCTCCTGATACATGTTGAAGGAGGGCCATCAGATAACTGTTTAGGAGTCTGAGGTGTGGATTTGACTTTTTTCCAAAATCCTTGTAATAGTGATAAAACCTGAAAAATTACAAACCTTAAGATTTTTGGGTTACACTTTCATGTGTACATTGATTGCTCTGAAGTTAATTTTTTCCCTGAATAGCAATTAACTTGTAGCCTATTGTCCTGATAAAATAGATTCATTATTTTTATGTTAGAAATCCATCCCCTGTCCAGGTGGTGGCCTCATTCCTCACACTTCTCATAGTTTTAATAGGAATTGAATGGAGTGAGGGCCATTTTCAGCATTGTTAATTTAAGCAAGCTAGTTTCCGTCTTGTCAGATTTGCCAAATTTTTATTTAGTGTAATTTAATAAAAATCATATAGTATAAAATAATTTGAAATAGTCTAATAAGCATTCTAGTTGCTATAATTTTAGATGGGATGAAGGAAGGAAAATAAAATGAAAGAAGATATTTAGATAATATGTCACTTCAGGGCTAGTTAATGTAGCTCATTTTGGATTGTTTTCTAACATTCAAGTGGATGTATTTAAAATATAAGCTTACATTTTTCTGGATTTGGTATACATGATAAAATGAGTTGTGAGTTGTCATATTCAGAATGACCATCTTTTAAAACCAGATGTTTTCTGCCCAGGGCAAAAACTCTTGAATATTTTGGCTGAAAATGAATGCAGTGTGGGGAAAATTTTTTAAATGTTCTCCCTATATATATATACACACACACACACACACACACACACACCATATAATCATGTCTTAATGAAAATGTATTTCTTGTTGGATCTAAAAACATCAAATGAAGGACGGTGGGAAATGAAAGTCTACAAGTCCTCCTTAGTAAGAAACCAGTTTTGAATTTAAGACTTAAGTCAGATCGTCTTTAATTGAATATGCTATTTCCTAAGCATTGAACCACTGATACATAGTTTTCTGCATTGTAACGTCTGGCATATAGACCTTGAGTGTTCTGATTCCCTCATTATGGTCTTCCCTTTTTTACATTGCATCCTAAAGAGTATTGCCTAGTAACTACAACTCAAACCAAATTTTAGCCTGGTTTTTATTGATTGCTTCTAGTTTTGAACAGAGGTGGATTCTTAGAACAGTCTGTTTAGGCAAATTGTCCATTTAGGGGAATCTGGATTAGCTACCTACCATTTTCCCTGCCTTTTTACTTTGGCCATAAATTAGCCAAGAGTTGATAGTTTAGAAAATGAATTAAATCATTATAATCTTATGAAGTCTTTATAGCAAATATTTTCAAGAGCATATTGGTTCTGTCATTGGAAAAAGTCTGTGGAGACTAATGAGGTTTGTGATGATAAATCAAGCAATCATTTAAGTTCATCTGTCTACACACACACACCTAAAATATCATGAAAAAACAACAAAGGGTACATATAAGTATTAGAATGAATTTTCCACTACAGGATTGAGTTAGTTTCTATAGAAACTTAGTTTAGAAAGTGTATGTTTAATTAGCATAACTTGGACAGCACAAGATTAATGCTTTAACTTGTTAGCAGGAGTTTAAAAAGCTGGTTTCTGTTGCCAATAGTTGGTTGGAAGGGAAAATGGAGATGCCACAAATAAAATTTTTTGGATGTGCAAAACAGTTTTGATTTTATTTCTTACAAACTATAGGACTCCAAGCCCCCTGATCCTTGATCAGAACTACATTAACACCAAAAATCAAGTTATCAAGGCAGAAAGGAGGGTGCTAAAGGAGTTGGGATTTTGTGTTCATGTCAAGCATCCCCATAAGGTGAGTTGTAGAGTGCAGAAATTACATTCGTAAGTATTAGGGTTTTTCTAAAACTGCATCTTATATGAATTTATATAATGGTTATTTTTGAAAGTTAACCTTGGTTTTAAAAAGCATCCTTCAGGTTACTGAAGGAAAATATCAGGAAAATAGGAGTCAAAAAGACTTGGGTTCAAATCTCCACCCTTCATTGTGTGGGCATAGATAAGTTCTTTTTGCCTCTGGTTAACCCAGTTTCCCTACCAAGTAAACAGATTGTGACATACCTTATTCCAAGGACGAGATAATAAACATGTGCAAAAGTTCCTGGAATGCTGTCGCACAGTAAAATGTTCAAAGCATTGTGGCTATTCACTGTTAACTCAAAGTTTATTTTTCCACTGTCTCTTGGCTTATATATGATTCTCATAATAGCACATTGGTTACCCTATGGGTGCTCTGGGGATAGTACCATCTGTGATAGAAATATGTCTTTGCGTCTTTGCCACTGGCTCTTGGACTTGGCAAATATGCCTGTTCCTCAGATTCCACATCTTCAAGATTGTAAAATTGGAATGATTGATAATAAAGGTCCAGGAAGATTTGACCTGAACTGTAATGAAACTATTGTTAGTCTTTATTTATCACACTTTAGTGTGATAAGCTTCACTGGAGAAAGAGTAGTGTTTGAATACTTAACTGTAATATCCACTGTATTACCTAATGTGAGCATATGTATTGTGTAATGTTAAAACCATACAGTCTGTAGGATTTTGGGACATGTAGAATTGTACCCTGGGAAATTAAGTGAAATAGTCTCTTAACCACAGTGTCTGTCATAGTAAAGTTAAAGTGTTCATGGAGAAATTAGGTATTGTTTTTAGTTTTCTCATTTTTCCTGTGCAATTTTGGATCATACTTCAAATTTTTATGGGATTTAGGGGCATAATAACCCACACTGACTGTCCTGTGTGTTATAGGTTGGTCTATAATTACCTATGCAGTTGTAGAAGAGATAAAACTCGAACCTAACAGTTCAATACTTTTATTCATTAAACTCTGAAAGAACCACTGATTTGCTAAATTGAATTTTTTTCCCTTGTCCTTCAGATCATTGTTATGTATTTACAAGTTTTAGAATGTGAACGTAATCAAACCCTGGTTCAAACTGCCTGGTAAGTTGCTTTTTTACATTTCTTTCCTAGCCAGGAAAACAGAAGCAGAAATAAAGTAAGTTTCATTTTCCCTTTCCAAAATAATAAGAGGAGTTTGTTTTGGTGCTTTTTGTTTTTTTTGTTTTTTAACCGAAAGGTAAATAATGCTTATTTCTGCTTCCTGTTTTCTTGGCTTGACTAATTGCTTTCAATGGAGAACTCAATTTAACTTTGTTCTTTTTTCTACTCTTTAATTAAAGGGTAGTCCATGATGGTAAGTCATAGAACTCTGCCCTCTGCACTTCAGCCCATGACCTCAGGATGGCCTGATTGGCTGCCCTGCTCTCCAGCCAATCCAGTGCAAGCTCTCATCCGAGATTCACTGAAGTGGTCCATATCCATCTGGCAGCATCTTCTAGTTCTGTCGGGGTGTCAAAAGGATTTGTATATTTGCTTCTAGAAGTAACTATTCAACATGCCTGTGTATATAATGTATACCTGTAACTATCAAAATGAATAGTTCATTTTTGATAGATTTGTTGTCCAGCCGTTATGAATTAAATGATTTTTTTTTTTTTGTTAGGCGTTTGACTTAGATTTCTATTTTTAGTATGTATAGCAATGGATTCTACCAAGGGAAAGTACAACTTGCAGCTTAAAATGGGCACCATTCCCATTCTGGACGAATTCTAGCTGCTGGACTATTGAGGCAATACTAAAAGAAGTACATTTTTAAAAGAGATGTTAATATTACCATAAGTATTGTAGAACTTGGACTTTTGACATGAAGATGTTTGACTTGGAGGGCTAGCTTATTTTAAGATAAAACAAGGAATTTGGTCCAGCTACAACTACTTTCTCAAGACTGTTGATGATGTGCAGGACTTAAGTAATTTTCATGTTCTGGACTTAATGACTGCCATGCTTTTTTAGAACTCAACAAATATTAGTAATATTAGATAAGTAATTGCTTTTATAAAATGCATGACATTTTTAATATATGCTCTATAGAACATTTAAGCAGTTTTCATGGGTAAGGGTTTTTAAGAAATAGTCTAACCTGTTAAAACAATCTGTGAAATTTAATACTTTAGGGATATTGTGGGGAGTGTTTACTAATCAAAAGTCCAGCACTTTATTAATTGAAGTAGTTTATTGCTTTTGTTTGTACTTAGTCATGAAAAAAGGTATGTAAACAAGGCTGTTTTGTATATTTACTGCTCTTCACTTCCCTACTTAGATTTTCTGCAGTAGCTTAGTTTTCTTAATAAAACTTGGTGAGTGCTTACTGAAAATGCCTTTTTACCCCTGTCACAGTATTTTGATTTTTGAAAGAACTTGGTTGACACTGCTTTTCATTGTGGATAAAGGAGAGATGGTCAATAATTAATGGCTTGAAGTACTGTTGGAGTGGTTTATCATTTCTGAAACTAGTTATGTGAAAATTGACTTTCAAAGCATTGCTTTTCATAGAAATAAAAACTATAGAAGTTATATTTGGAATGATGTGAAATTATTTTAGAAGACTTTAGTCATATATAGGAAAGCTGAAGAATGGTTCTAGTGTTAAATTCTTATCTCTTACTGACTTCTGAGTTAAAAATTGTTGTATGCTAGAATATGAGGATATGAATATAAATAAGAGAAGAAAAAAGAATAAAGTAGATTGAGTCTCCAATTTTATGTAAGCCTTGGTAAGGACTGGTTTGTTTATGTACAAAGCTTACGGTTGAAATATTTTTCAGGAATTATATGAATGACAGTCTTCGAACCAATGTATTTGTTCGATTCCAGCCAGAGACTATAGCATGTGCTTGCATCTACCTTGCAGCTAGAGCTCTTCAGGTAGGTGTATATATATATAGCCTGTTGTGTCCTATAGGGTAAATCACAAGAATTAGCAGTTCTAATAAAAACTGAAATTTGTCCTAAACCATTCTGTTTTTATCGTTCAGATTCCATTACCAACTCGTCCCCATTGGTTTCTTCTTTTTGGTACTACAGAAGAGGAGATACAGGAAATTTGCATAGAAACGCTTAGGCTTTATACCAGAAAAAAGGTAGCTGTTAACTCATGTTTGTGTTAATACTTTTTAAATGCTAAGAATCTAAACTACTATAAGGGAGAAATACTAATTTCATTTTCTTCCATCAGCCAAATTATGAATTGTTGGAAAAAGAAGTAGAAAAAAGAAAAGTAGCCTTACAAGAAGCCAAATTAAAAGCAAAGGGATTGAATCCTGATGGAACTCCAGCCCTTTCAACCCTTGGTGGATTTTCCCCAGCCTCTAAACCATGTAAGATACATTCAGAATTGAAATTATTTGGGCACTGAAGGTATACAGTTATTATAAAGCTTTAGCATATAACAGTGGCATAGAAACAATGATGTTAGGAAGCAAGAAGCTGTTACCGTTTTCTCTCAGGATAGTCAACTCAAAACAAATACTTGAAAGCATGGTACACTGGAGTTTCATTTAGAAACAACTTATTGGTCCTCTGTTAAATCCAATAGATAACATGACTTTGTTTTGCTGTTTTTAAGCATCACCAAGAGAAGTGAAAGCTGAAGAGAAGTCCCCAATCTCTGTTAATGTGAAGACAGTCAAGAAAGAACCTGAGGACAGACAACAGGCTTCCAAGAGCCCTTATAATGGGTGAGTATGTTTGAGTTAGAAAACTGGTCTAAAGAGTCTTTTATGTGTTTAATTTCTAACACATTAAAACATGTTATCTAAAATAATGGTTTTTTTTTTTTTAAGTGTAAGAAAAGACAGCAAGAGAAGTAGAAATAGCAGGAGTGCAAGTCGATCAAGGTCAAGAACACGATCACGTTCTAGATCACATACTCCAAGAAGACAGTAAGTAAAGGTTCTCATAGAGAAAGCAGTCTTATGTGGAGTAAGGTTGCTGATTTTTAAGAAAATTGAACATAGATGTTTTCACAGTTAGGCTAGATTTAGTCATCTAACATGAGCTAAATTATGAGAAGTGGGTTTGGAAATATGCCCTGGCTATATGTGGCTTTTTTTTGTTTTGTGGTAGTGCAGCTTAAGAACAGTTTATTCTGGTTTTGCTTGTTTTTTGGAGAAGTGTAGGGGCTGGCTACAAAGTGCTATTATGGAAGGCTATAGCACTAAGGCTAATATCCTGCTTATAATGTGAAAACAGTCTTTGTTAAAGTTCAGTTCAAAAATATTATATTATTAACTGTTAATTAACCAATAATCAAGTTGACCAGAGCCAAAGAATTCTCCCTAGCTTTGTAATTAAAATGCTAGCTGCTTGTGTCTGTTCAGTGGCTCTTTTGAACATGTGTGAGATACTTCATAAAAAGCATAACTATCTAGGACACTTCATAAAAATTATTAATTACCCTTTTCTTTGGAATATAGATCTATGGTACATTTAAGATTTGTCTAATATAGGCTGGAGGGGAGCCGGTGAAGTGGGTAAATTCGATGAAAGTTTTCTGCCTGGCCTGTACTGCTACAGGTCAATAATTTTATTTTATACCTGTTAAAAGCACCACTAAAACATTTGTTCCCAGCAAAAACTGAATCTAAACCTCAAATTTTTATTATCTAAGTTATAATAATAGGCGGAGCCGATCTGGAACATACAGCTCAAGATCAAGAAGCAGGTCCCGCAGTCACAGTGAAAGCCCAAGACGGCATCATAATCATGGTTCTCCTCACCTTAAGGCCAAGCATACAAGAGAGGATTTAAAGAGTTCAAATAGACACGGTCATAAGAGGAAAAAATCTCGTTCTCGATCTCAGAGCAAGTCTCGGGATCACTCAGATGCTGCCAAGAAACACAGGCATGAAAGGGGACATCATAGAGACAGGCGTGAAAGATCTCGCTCCTTTGAGAGGTCCCATAAAGGCAAGCACCATGGTGGCAGTCGCTCAGGACATGGCAGGCACAGGCGCTGACTTTCTTCCTTTGAGCCTGCATCAGTTCCTGGTTTTGCCTATCTACAGTGTGATGTATGGACTCATAATCAAAACATTAAAAGGATATTGATTAGGATTTGATTTCTTAAAGCTCTCTAGGTCTCTAGAAACACTGAGGACATTTTCTTTTGGAAAAAAAAAAACATTTTTGTGTTTTTTTTTCTTTTTTTTTTTTGGTTAATTTTTTTTTTTTTTTTTTGCACATTAAAATGCCCTAGCAGTATCTAATTGAAAACCATGGTCAGGTTCAATTGTACTTATAGTTGTGTATTGTTTATTGCTATAAGAACTGGAAGTGAGTTCTGTAAAAATGTATCTTATTTTTATACAGATAAAAATTGCAGACACTGTCTATTTAAGTGGTTATTTGTTTAAATGATGGTGAATACTTTCTTAACACTGGTTTGTCTGCATGTGTAAAGATTTTTACAAGGAAATAAAATACAAATCTTGTTTTTCTAAACTGCTTCAAAGAACTTATTTAAATAAATTATTAAACAGAGCAAAATTTTAATAGTAAAGTGCCTGTACTGATTTTCTGACAAAACCTTTTCTCCATTAGCTATATAGATTCTTAAATGCAGTTGTTACCTGCATTGAGAGCTATTCTAAAAGTCTTTGCTTTATATATGGAAAAAACAAGTGGGAGTTGTGCAACAAGATAACATTAAATGTTACATTGTAGCACTAAACCAGTCTTCAAACTGAAACCTATTTGCACATATATAGTACTTAAAAATGAGCTTTATGGTACATTTAAGTGAGCTACCCTCTAGAACAAATCAAAACTTTGAACGTAATGGTAAATCAGACCCAACTACTGAATATTAAAGGCTTTCTTTAATTTAGAAAATAGCAAAGATTTTTATTTACGCTAGGAGGATTGAGTAATAAAATGAGGACCAGCAGACATGGCTAGCTGATAAAGGTAAAATCTGACCATAAAGTAAATGGAGTTTTTTTTAAAAAGCCAGAAGTCCTATGTCAAAATAAACAGCTTTTTAAGTTACTCACACTGACAGTTATTTGGAAGTGAATTTAGTAATCTTAGAAGGTGATATATGATTTCATTATTTTACAGTTCTAGTAAATTTTCCATTAATTTTAACACACCTTGATAGTTTTGATTGCCTGGCCTCTAGCCCTGATTCCCAAATAATTTTTTTGTTTCAAGAAATTAAATCGACCCACAATGATATGAGGATTTACTGCCACTAAGGATGTTAAAAAACAACAACAAAAACACACAGCCTCTCAAGACGATTCCAAAGACAAACATGTTCACCAGTGGTGAGCACTGGGGTTGAACAAAGTAGAAAGCCAAACAAGGCAACTACCCTGCAGGGGAGAAGAGTCCTCTGGATTTTAAAATGTTGGGTGTGCTACTTAAATGAGTTATATTTCTCAGTTCTAATGAGTGTTCTTTCTCTATTTGATTTTATAATACATAATGCTGAACTATATAACTTAAGAGCCTAAACTATATCTACACAGGAAACCATTTATTGTATTTACAAGACAGGCACTGAAGAAAGGCAGAGGCAAAAGTCAATAAAGGCCCTGTTTTACAAATTAATCTTAAATTCTTACAAGTTTTAAAATTTTTACCTACCTTACCCTTGTTTGGAAAGAATGCCATGGGTGAGGTTTGTGAAGATGGAAGATGGCGGAGAACACCTGCATGTGGGGTGAGAGCTGTATGTTAGAGGTGGCTTTGCGAGGGTGTCTTTTTCCATGCATCCTCATTTTTGCTTTGTACCATTACTAAATCAGTTTTCCAGGTTTTTGTCAAGAAGTTGACCACTTTATGCTGCTCTGAATTTAAAAACTTTTTTTGAAATACACCAATTTTTGAACTTTAAGGGAAGTTACAAATAGACACAGTATAATACCCATCTCTCAGATCCAAAAATAACGATCAATTCATGGCCAGCCTACCTTGTTCATACCTGCAAATTGACCATTCTACTTCCCACCCTTATTTGGAAAAAAATCCCAGACAACTGATTACATCCCCAACTATTTCAGACTAATAGGACTTGAACATAACTAAAGTACTTTTATTAAAAAAAAAAAAAAAACAATGCCTTGCTTACCCATTCAGTGTCTAGATTTTCCTGTTTCTAAGGATTTGTTTTTATAATTGGGATATTCAGGCAAGATTTATCTATTTTATATTGGTTTTTAATCACAGACTCCCATCCTTTTTCCCTTGCAATTTAAAAACATGGGGTCATTTGTCTTATGGAAATTTTCATATTCTGGTTTGCTCATTGTAATCCTGGGGAATCACGACATATTTTCTGCCTCCTGTATTGTAAACTTTGTAAATCTCAAGACTTGGCCAGATTCAGATTTGATAACTTTTTTTTTTTTACTATATGAAATTTGGAAGTCTGGACACTGAGGCTATGTGCCATTCTAAACTGTTACTAGACTGCTGCCTCATCCACTAGGTATTTCTTGAGTTCCCAATTCTTCATCCATTAAGTGCTGTACCTTTGACGACTCTTGTTTATTTCCTGTATATGTTCTTATTATCTTGTGTTTCCCACTATAGCCATAAGCCTTAATACAGATAAGTTGTTAACCATTTGTCCTAATGATCCTCATTCTTAATACAAGTCTTTTCATGTTACGGAATGTTACCATTTGTCCTTTATGATTGTATCTTAACCCTAAAGGAAGACCAGTGAAAGTCTTAATCATCTTCCCACTTTAAAATTGCGATCATCAAAAGGATTACCTTTTTACCAAGGTTTAAACTTTGCTTTATAGCTTTAAATATTGTCAGTGTTACCGTCAGTTATTAACAGCACTATTAATGCCCACAACCTGAAACAAAAGCCGTATTTAAAAATTTAAAGGTAGTGCTCATGAAAGTTTCCAAAACCAAGATAATTTCATAATAATATTCATGGTCCTAATAGCCATTTAACATGGGCTGTAACAGATAACTGTGAAGGCTTTTTTCTTAAAGACCAGATTTTTCCAAGATTCATGTTAAAATCATAGGCATACTGGGAGCCCAGCTTAGCTAGAGAGAATGTGCATGGGGTTTGATAAGGAAAACTATCATCACTTCCCCCCACTGGGAAAATTGGAAGGGGAGCAGTATTCATTGTGTGGGCCCTGATCCCCTCATGTTCCCTAGGGTAGCTATGTGTGTGGATAAAGTCACAGCTTGATGTTGTAACCATCTGAACTTTGTCCATTTCTTGAATGAAAGGAACACTTGACTTGCATGTCATCTCTGAATTCAGGTATTCCCCTACTAAGAGTACTTGGTAAGTTATTTAACCTCTTCTTGGCCCTTGCCCTTATCTCACAGCATTTTGTTACCAGATAGGTATTTAAGCAAATATAAAGGAGTTCTATTTTTAGCCTTTGCAATACAATTTGTATTAGAAAGCATCCAACTATTTAGAAGAGTTTATTCTACATTTCCTATGAACACAGTCCAAAATACAGCTGTTTCAGAATATTGCTTCATGAAAGTAGGTATGATTCTGAACAAGATTTTCATGAAAACACTGGGCTCTCTGATTATAAGTGTTCTGTTTTAGCCGCCTCTGCTTAGTTTAATTCTAACCCAGTTAGAATTACCCTGCCTGCTTTTTTCTGTGTCATCCATTTCCTTTCCCCTACATCAGTTACCACACCTCAACAGTATGTGGTAGCAGTGTTCCTATGTATGCCTTTGCCATACAAACAGTAGCTAATGGTCTATTTAAAACATTAATCACATGTTCCTCTAATATATAAAGCTTCCAATGATTCCCCATTTCACTGAATAAAATACAAATCTCTGACTCTGGCTGTATGTAATCCAAACCCTGCCAGCCTCTTCCATCAACCAACCTTTGTCTTCCTCAAATATGCACACACCTATTCCCGAGCCTTTTGCACTTGCTGTCCTTTCTGCTTGGGAGGCTCTCCCAAATCTTATGTGATGGGCTTCATCATTCAGGTGCCCTTCTCTCACAGGGGGGCTGCTTTCAAATCCTATCTAAAATCAGCACCCCAGACATGTTCTGTTCTATTCCTTAGCACTAATTTTTTCCTAATAACCACTATCTGAAATTATTTTACTTTATCACTGACTTACTCATAAGAATATATATAAGCTTCAAGAAAGCAGGTGTGTAGTTTTTTCATTTTTGTATGCTCCTCACCTAATCCTACAACAGTGCCTGACCCATTATAGGGCATGCAATATATTACTGGAGAATGAATTTCAATTAATGCTAATTCTCTGAATGACATTTTAAGTTTTCATCTTTCAAGTATGAACATATATTCTTTATCCAACTGCCCCTCTATGAATGTATATATTCCTTTCACAATGTTATACGTTCCTGGAGCTCACAGTTGAAAGGGGACAGAGATCTGTAAACAACGGCCTATGGGTAGCAAACTGGTAGGTCGTGGCCAAATCCTAGCTTGCACATGTACTTGGTTTGTGCAAAGGTAGTTTTAAGTGAACTAATTGCTACAGTTTTCATTGGAAATATTCACATAAAAACCTATACTTCCAGCTTCTTTTAAAAAATACAGGAGATCTACAATCCCTGGCAGGAACTGACTGGCACCAAGTAGCCCTCTGATTGATGTGTGCACATTCCTGTGCATTCTATTTCCTTCTATTCCCAAATCACACTGAAGGTAGGTTTCGGTTTGCATTTATCAGTGTGCTGACCATGGTATTTTTCTTGTACCCTGCTCCTTTTGCTCACTGATATACCTGCCTGGTCTTTGCAGTAGACCCCTGACATTTCAGAGAATAATCCAAGACCTATATAAATCCCCACATCTGTGAATGTGGCATAGTTTGCATAGGATACTATGTCAATTGAAAATTAGATTATTTGGGGTGCCAGGGTGGCTCAGTCGGTTAAGCGTCTGACTTCGGCTCAGGTCATGATCACACAGTTCGTGGGTTCGAGCCCCACTTAGGGCTCTGTGCTGACAGATACCTCAGAGCCTGGAGCCTGTCTTCAGATTCTTTTCACTGACCTTTTCAAACAAGAATTTCTCACTTTTGCATTGCTGGAGCACTTGTGGAAAAGTTTCATACATGGGTTCTTCCTGTTTTTATACAGAGTATATGACACATCAGATCTTCATACAGAGTATGTGTAAGGTACATCATAAACCTAAGCCACCATGAGGTTAAATAGTCTACCCTAAATTACAAAACTAATTTTCTGCTCAAAATGTATTATTTTCTTGGACCTTTTCAAACCAAGCTTTATTCATTTAACTATTACTGCAACATGGACTAATAATGTACACTGATGTCACACTGAAACTGGTTAATCCTGGCAGACTATATTTATACGAGTAAAGAGTTAGCAAATGAACTTTTAACTTACTTGAAAATAGTCAAATTGCAAATGTTAAGTGTCTGCTATAATTACATTTAACCTGATGAGGGCTACCATGATAGGTTTCTACTTAGAG